TTTTTCAACCAGAATATCATATCATTTTTCTCTTACTATCACACCCACAAACTTCTGAAACAAGCAAGTCACTCGCTGTAGTCACCTGGTGGATCAATGTTAAGTTTACTGACTTAAAATACTGAAATCCGAGGTGTATCTTTGCGCTAAAACAGCAGTGTTTCACTCGGTGTAACCTGAATATTATATATATTCATATACAGGGAACTTGTCGGTTTATGAGTTTCTTCTGGAGCTTTAACTTTTACTGGACTTATTTACTTTTATGTGTGAATTTAGTGAAACAGTTTGAAATACAGGTACGGCACCAGACGGGACTAAAACTGAGATTTCTTATTATTATTTTCATGCTGTTGAGGATTTTGAAATGTTAGTAGAAAATATAATAGGTAAGAAAAACAAAATTGCTAATATACCTGCAAATACTGCTAAGAAAGTAAGAATGTTTATCTACTTTCTGGCTGATATATTTACAACACCAAAAAGAGTCTGACTAAAACTGAACAGACTTCAAAGTATCACTATCACTATAATGAAGGACATTAAAAAAAATGTTTTGGCTGTTTGGTCATGACTGGGTTTGTCTTTTATTTCCAAATAAAAGATATGGGTCTTCTTCATGATTCTGACATATACAGATTGTAATGTTTGGGGCTAGTACGCATGACGACAACTCCTTTTACAATCAGACAAAAGTAGGAAAATAAATGACAGAAAAAAAGTACATACCAATATAAAATGTGCAAACTCTCCGCCCCCTCTCCCCTCCGCCAACCGAAATTACACTCCCCTCCACCTCCAAACGTAGCTAATATGTGTATAAGACATCTTAACTACTTTCAACACAAAATAAATTTTCGTTTCAAATCATCCAAGTTTCAATCCGACAATTTTTACACTAGTTTATATCAACTACAAATGTATCCTACACACGAAAGTAACTTGCACATTTTTATGTACGACGATATGTTACAAAATATTATGAAATAAAAGACGATAAACTAATATGCACAATATCACAAAGTTGTATGAATTGTGGAACTTGTCATCAAGGTTGAAATCTTTTTCATATCCTACTTTAACTTACTTCTAACCACACTTATTTCATTGTGCGTTAAATAGTCTGTAATGATTTTGATTAGAAGTCTGAAAAATACAGAAACTAGTTTCTCAGCTAACAATAGGGAAACAAGACAGTATCATCTGTCTTCTTAGTGACTTATCTCGGAACTACAAAAGTTATCGGTTACTTTTTTGATACGAAACACTTTCCCTTGGACTGTGCTATACACCTTCCATGTTTGTCTTATGGAAAATTAATGTACTTTTTGCTCGTTAGGATAAAGATATTTGTGATATACAAGGTATTTCGTAAGTTGTTTATTGTCTATTCTGGCGGAGTACCACTTCTTACCCACCCTTAAAACTACAAATATTGTTATATTTTCACAAAAGTTTTCGTAATCTTATAAAACTTTGTTTCATAAATTTCTTTAGCTACATAAAGTGTTCTTTATTAAAAACACATCGTTTTTTTCTATAAGTATTTCTCTACTGTTTCTGCTTGCTGCGACAAATTACATTATAGAATTTATTCTAATTTAATAAATATTGTTTCGATAACTGCTATCGGCACTTGTCCATTGTTTAACAGAATAATTTCTCGAGACTAGATCGAAGGCAAATATCCGTATGCTTTATGAATAGTATAGGCCCTATTATGATTATTTTGTTGGATGTTTGGCGTGAACGGTTATTTTAGCCTGTAGCTGTCTTGTGTCAGTGTCCTCCATTAAAAGATTAAAAAGATAATTGCACAGTTGAAACCGAATCCTTTGCTGTCTCCCTCTTGTTTTCAGGTTCTGGGTATTAATTAGAACCTGTTTATACATTACGTTATCCAAAAACCTGAGCACGCTTTTCACTGAGTTAATTTCTTCAACGTGCAAGGTTGGCACATATTCCAGCCGTTCTATGCCACAACCATCATTCACTTTCTGAACAGCTATTAAATCCACCATCCGACTGACAGGCATTCTGTGCGTAGTGCTAGATTCTTAGTGGAATATAACGGATGACAGTGAGAAAGAGAGGAAAAAAAAAATTATCCGTCAACAGTAAATCATAGCGTGTTCACTGCAACGCCGCCACAACCAGCTATTACACCAAGCGCCCATTTATTTTCACCTCATCAGAACTCGCATTCTTTCTGCGTAATCACATACCCTATACGTAAGGTTTAAAAAAATGTGGGCGCTCGGTGGCGGTTAACAAAGAAAGAACGACTGCTTAGTTTAAATCCATCTATCACTATTTCCCCTCTTAAAACAAAAGAAGAACATGCTCTATTATCGGGATATGTAGAACTCGAAGAATATGTGCAAACGTTAACGTTAGAACATTTAAAAAAAAATAACTGTAACGCAGGTTACAAAGAATGGATGAGGCAACTGACGATGAATGTAACTTCATTCAACCAATAACTCAACAATGTTTGAGTGCGCATTGCAGGTTTAATTTTTACAAATTAATATTTTTTTAGGTTTGTTATTGTTTTTCTTAGTGCAAAGCAACATAATGGGCTCTCTGCACTCTGTTCACCGCGGGGAATAGAACCATAGATTTTATCGCTGTAAGTCCGTAAACTTGTTTGTTTGTTTGTTTTGAATTTCGCGCAAAGCTACACTATGGCTATCTGTGCTAGCCGTCCCTAATGTAGCAGTGTAAGACTAGAGGGAAGGCAGCTAGTCATCACCACCCACCGCCAACTCTTGGGCTACTCTTTTACCAACGAATAGTGGGATTGACCGTACCATTATAACGCCCCCACGGCTGAAAGGGCGAGCATGTTTGGTGTGATGGGGATTCGAACCCGCGACCCACAGATTGCAAGTCGAGTACCCTAACCACCTGGCCATGCCGGGCCCCGTAAACTTACCGCTGACCCAACCGAAGGACGTTTTAGGTTTCTCATTGATTTTAACAATGCATAAAAAACCATATACTTATATGGATCGTTTTAATTCGTTTTGCTTTATGGGAGTAAATATGAAGAAACTAAAATATTAGCGCAATTAATTATCCAGCTGCAAGTAATTGCATTTAGTATCCTGATATTTATTTAAAAAAAAAGGGATTGCAAGAAATATAGAGCAGAGTCTAGGATTTTTCTTCAAAACCTGTCTGTGATCAATAAAGCTTAAAGCTTCAGAAAAAGGCAATATCTGTAACTTTTCCTGGAGTTTAAAACAGTGTTAATTAGAACAACCTGGGAAATGAACATCAAATTTAAGAGCACCCTGTTTAAAAAAATATTATAACCTTAGCATAAAATGAAGCGAAGATTCACCAAGCAAACAATGCGGAATTGGAAGATCTAATTAGCACAATAACATAAATTACATCACTTACACCTTAATGAACTATCTGTGTCTCGAGTTATGAGAAAATAAACATTGCATGTCTCAAGAATAAACATTGTTACAAGTAGTAACTTACACTCAACTTTGATGACGTCATGACTTATTCCCTACACTGCCCAAGTGGGAAGCGCTAATACGTCACTTTTAAATTGAGAATAAGTATAGCAAAGAAATTAATATTTAATGTTGAGTAGTCATGAATCATAGACGATTGATTCACGAGCAAATATAATACATGCACTTTCTGTTGGAGAGTAGTCACGATACAGTGGACAACAACAATGACGGAACCTGTCGATTTTGCAATCAAGATGTGAAGTTAATTCCACTGAACCAAGAAGGTTCTCAAGCATAAATAAAATTCAATTATAAAGTTTGTTCTTAATTTTAATAGAATTAAGAATAAAAATTCAGATATAACATCTGAAATAATAATTATAAAACTTGGGCGTTTAAAACTGACCGTAAAAATGGCCAGATAATTAATGAAGAGTATTGTTCAATAACTGTCTGTGGGCCAGAGCCAAACTCTGGCCCGCTAATTACAGACAATTGATAGTTAAAATACACATAAAAAGGAAGATAGATGTTTTATAAATATAAAAAACACACAATGAATTATATTAAAGTAATTTAAGCTATGCTTTTCGTTTATTTTTAATGTATTTGACGCTTATTTGCTTCGCTTACAGTAATATCACGCACTTTTGTACTTTCCATATCAAAATTCTACAATATTTTGTAATACGAAATTATTAATTCCTTTCTTTAAGCACGCCATTGTTGTGACTTGAAGATTTGTAATTGATAACGAAACAAATAACATAATTTAAAAGGTTAATTTATCCTTAATTAAATTATAGGGTCATTGTTTAATAATGTTCACCAAAAGCTAAAAACAATTAAACATATGCATGTGAAGTGACAACACATATAAATGGTCTGTATGTTTATTGTTAGCCACAAAGTTACCCAATGTCCATCGCGGGTATCGAAACCAGATTTTTAGCGTTATGAGCCCTCAGTTTACCGTTGAGCCACTGGGAGGCACAAGTAAAAGGAGATCATATTCGTTAAACCATTGAATGAAAATTTTCTACGTAAATAATAGTAGAAAACTATTAACTTTTATTTTATGAACCCAGCATTTAATAAAATAAATACTTTGTTTTCGTTAAGAATACAAGTGTAGTTACTTGCTCTTGTTTTTCTTTATAGATTGTTTACACAAAAATGCAGCAAAAAATAGATAGAAATTTAATCAAATTGGTCTGAAATCGACTCAAAGATAGCAAATGATTTTGATATTACACAAGTATTATTATACCATACAATACTGTAAGTATAGTATATTTGTTTTTGTCCGATAAAAATATCAAGTCCCAAACCTACATGTACATAAAGTTCCGACAGCGCCACCTATCAAGTAGATGAAATTCAACACCGATTGCAGGAACATGTTGAAAAATATTGCTAACTACAGAAAGTCTGAATTCATTTGAAAGGGCTCTCTTAATTTACATATAAAAAGCACTTCTTATACTACACACCACAACAATGAAATAGCACAATTCTTACCTATAGAACAAAAAGCAATAAAAGTTTCAGCATGGTTTCTTGCCACATCTATTCCCCTAGCAAGAGGAAGCCTTTGGAGGATTGGTTCTATGAAATCATTTGGGGTGACAGCTGAAATATCCCACTTGAGCCTCCTGAGAACGAGGAGCTCCCAGTTCTAAAACAAAACAAAACTCTACATTAACCATGCATGCAAATATAAAGGTAAAAGACATACCGAATGTGTGATAAACATGTAAATACTAAGGACCTATCCAAATGAATCACAGCTAAAATAGGTTACAAAAACGGTAGAACAAACTGACTAAAAATACTTCATGTTATAAACTAATACATCAGATAAATAAAACCTAAATTGCATTAAATCGTCAGCTAGATGTCTTCGGTGTTACAATTTTTAGCTGTAATTCTAATAATGTCTATAAAGTGAGGGTTAAAAATGAAAATGTGGTCATTATGAGTGGTGTTCAAACAATTAAAAAAATATATAGATTTTTCCAAGCCAACTGTTTATATATATATTTTTTCAATCTCGGTAAACTCAGAAAGAAATGACAAAAAGTTTGTCAGACGAAACCTTAAAGCTGAAAAAACAAACAAACACAAAGTGCCCTTCTTTATCTTAAAAATCACCTCACACGACTGAAAGTCGTTCTGTATATGCAGAGCATACGTTATTCTTTCCAAGAACCAGCCTAACTCGCTGAAGTGCACACTTACTCTGTATAAGAATCCTCCTTACTCAACTACATTCCAAACTATACTCTCGATCAAACATTTTTTGCTTCTTTTTTCAGTCGACAAAGCTGATTCATCAGACTGAAACTACAAAATTAACTTGTAAACTTAAACAATGCTCTCTTGTGATTTACGTACAACTCTTCAATATTTTATAGTTTTGTTTGTATTGATTGCGGTAGCCTAACCAGAACGACTCTGTTGTTAACAGCACGAAGTGATACTGGTGAATATAATATTTTGTTATGTCTGTCGCGGCTGACAGTGAGCCAAACCACAAGTGTTTCGGTAAAAGAGAAGTTTCACTAGGCAATCTCTTAGATAAAAGATTCGTTTTAGACTTCGCAACAACGATTCAAGTGTTAGAGCTGAAATCAATCAGGATCAAGGTTGACAACCTTTGTATCTTTTAACAACCCTGTGACGTCCCAACTGGCGCTATCACACATATGTATCTACTTGATGATATGAGCAACTTCTCAAACGAATATATTTTCAATGCCTAATTTTTGCTAGTGATCCTCGTCGCTGTTCATAAAGACGAGGTCTCAAGACTAAACAGTGGAGATAAATCATAAAAGAACGACTAGAAAATTAATATATACTTTTAATTGGAATAATTACAAGAAAAAATTAATAACTATGACATATCACTGAAACTCAATATAAACAGTAAATCAATCATATTTTCAAAATTAACTTTCAAATATACCTGTTTTCGGCACCATGTGCCGCTTATCAAAATATGATAACGTTTCTTTCAAGGCAGGTGTTAACCACATGTTCTGACATATATTTAGCAGGCTTGGCACTTTGAGAGGTACCAACGGCAATACTGAACATAGTAAACTTTTTTCACCAGTAACAAGAATATAACGGCAAGCAGTGTTATTTCTGTTGCTTGGTGATCTCTCCCCACCAACTGCAATATCCGAAAAGAATCAATTGTGCTAGTTTAAAATCGAGAGGTGCCGATCACCCCATTAAGGACATACATGGGGAAAACTATTACACAATACTCTGATAAAAGCTTTAGAAAAGCGCACGTGCTACGCCCGTGCTGGCATCGTGCTACTCAATTCCAGCATTTGTGTTGCACTATAGGACAGATGGGCTTCGACTAAATAAGAAAGACCGAAGACCTTTTCTACTTTGGGTAACCCTGACTCTCTTACTTAACACAGACGTGGACGCAATAAAAAAATAATAAAAAAGGAGAGTAGTCGTTCTATCAGGACGCACCTTTTCCACATGCCATGGGGGGGGGGGCTTGAATTTCTTCCTTTTTTATATTTCCTTACAGACCGCGCCGTGCTGAACCGAATCTAAACGAAAAGTATTTCTAAAGAACCTTGCCTCGTTTTAAGTACAGTCGCATGCCAGTTTCAAAGAGGCTAGTCCTAGTCCTTGCAGTATGTTTATCTTATACTACAGCCATTCATACCGACCAGTGGGGTAGGCCTTCCGGTGCATAACCATTCAAAGCTATACCGACCGTTGGAAGCAACGTTGCTACGCTTTCTACAGTAAGAGTTACAGAACTTTCTTCTTTCACAAGCTCAAGAGACTGAATGAGCAACAACAATCAAAATAAAAAACAACAAAAAAGCTATATTCTGTGTACATCGCTAATTTGTTCGTTATACAACGTACGAGTAAGAGTAGTTGGTACGTATTATATTATTACATAAAGTATTAATATCACGCACCAGTCAAAAATGTTAATAAAAAAAGGTTTGAGAAAAAAAACATTTCTCCTTTCGCCGTTATTCCTTGTGAGGACGTATATTTTACGAATAAGAACAATTATTTATAAATATGAAAAAAAATACGCGGTTCTGAACTCGTATAAATAGGCCGCTGTTGTAGAGAACAAAAAATTCTTTGTAACTGTTTGTAGTTAAGCACAAAACAACACAACGGGCTATCTGTGCTCTGCCCGCCACGGGTATCGAAACCCAGTTTCTAGCGTTGGAAGTCTGCAGACATACTGCTGTGCCACAGGGGGCTGTTTGTTTCTGCTTTTGAAGCTTTTGAATATTTGAATAAAGCTACTCAAGAGCTATCTGTGCTAGCCGTCCCTGATTTTGAACTGATGGATTAGAGGGAAGGCAGTCAAACAACAGCACCTACCGCCAACTCTTGTCTGACCGAACAAAGTGATTTGACTGTCACACTTATAACTCGCCTACGGCTCTAAAGTTTTATCGAAAAGCATCGTTTGTTCCGGGGCCGGAGACTGCCTCAAAGACATAACGGAAACAGAAAACATGAAAGAGACATTTTGAATCTTCTGACTTATTCAACAATATTCATTTAAAAGTAAAAAATAAACAAAAGATATGAACAATCAAAATTTGCACGTCAAGTTAAGAAACACTCAGAAAATAAGACCTCTTGTTGTCACTGGCGTAGGCCTAACATCTTTGTTATTACTTTTTGTAGAGAAATGTCACAAACAGCTATTCCAGTGAATATTCATGGTTCTTTAACATTAAAACACAAAGCGCAAAGGAAAGCCAAAAACTGTCACTATTGTGGTTTATCAACATTCAGAATTTGTGTAAGTAGATGAAAATAATGAATTTAACATCCACGGTAAAAAAAAACACGGATTTATTTTGACATATATATATATATACAGTTTATGTTCATTCTGTGAGTGTACTATATAGTACTGAAAATACTGAAACAAAACTCCTTATGCAGTAAATTTTAATTTCATTTTCTCCCTTGGAAAAAAAACAAAATTTATTTTAAAAAGTATCCAAAAGCTATGAATGAAGGGCTAATGACTTTCTTGCCTCGAACTATATATATATCTACAGATACAGTGTATGTCTATTATACCTGACTGCAGCAATATACGTAGATAATTTTTTTTGAAGAAACACGCAACGATAACGATAACAGAACAGAAAAGGTTTCATCAAGAGACTATTTTCTTAGCGCAAATCTACACAATGGACTATCTGCGTTCTGTCCACCGCAAGGAATCGAACCGAGCATTTTAGCGTTGTAAGTCCGACAACTTACCGCTGATCCACCGGGGGACCCAAAGAATTAAGATACTCCGCTGAGCTAGCGAAAACGTCTGGCAGTACACAACATGCATGGTTCTCAACACAGCTGATATCACACGACGGAACAAGAGGAGACAGTTAGTCTGTGGTGACGTCATCAAAAGTTGGACTTACGCGATCTTCTTAGTGTTGATATCCATGGAATATGTTTTGAGGCGTATGCTATAAGCTTTCAGTAATGATGACCCTGAACTTCTGCCTCTGAAACAAATATCACGATTTTTTTCTTTGTTTTTCATATTTCTATCCCGTGGTATCACATGTTAAAAAGCTACTTGGTTGATTAGTTACAAAACAAATTAACCGTTATTTAACTACTATTGCATTATTACAGGATACTATAGTATTCATTAACCGTTTATTTCAACATTTCGTTATCACAGATTAAGCTTGGTTCCATATAATAGAATTCAAACAAGCGGTGTTGTTAGTTTCGTCAGATTCCTTCTCATAATGATTTGGGCATGTATTTTTAGTCAGATGATCCTGTCTACAGTATACAAGTTAAACGTCTAACTGTTAATTATTCTTAACCAATAATTAAATAAATAAAAAACAAGAAGCGCATTATGAGACTACTGTGTTTTCGTTATAAACCAATGCTAATTTTATGTGATATACCAATAATGTCTTTGTTTAACCCTAGCAGACATTACTACATATCACTTAAGTCACTTCTCAAAAACACAAAAGCCTAGGGGCGAGATGCACCCAGTGAATAAAAGAACTAACACCAGTTTTTTGGTTCATTCAGTTAAGTCTATTTGAATATGATAACTTAAAGAAGTTGGAGAATGATGCCCATACTCGAACTGGGGTTAACATGACCTTTAGCTCAAATATATTGGACAAAGACCAAAATTACCACATATGTTTTTTTACCAGTTTGGTCTGAATCAAGAATCCATAAATTCCCTGTTCTGGATTGCAACTTCAGATATTTAGGTTTAATACGTGTTTATATGAGGATCTTTAGGCAAAATCTGTCTGACAAATAAAATCATCTTACAATAATTCGCTCAGATTTCTTAGCAGAAGGATATGAATCATATATGCATATTTGTGCTCGCTCTCTTATAGAATAAACGTTAATTTTCTCTTTACAAGGAGAAATCACACTCTTTCTATACTGTTTAACGTCTTGTAAACCTCTGTTTAATGGCATTTAAATAATTCACAAGTAATACAAGCATAAATTCTGACTAAGAAGTTATCACACAGTATCACATATAAAAGTTGTAATGGTTTTCAAGCAAGACACAAAACTTGGGGCTGTCGAATAGTTTTGGGTCTCGTTTGAAAACCATTACAACTAATATAAGTATAGATAGCTACTGAAAACAATTATTTTTGGATACCTTTATATTGTTAGTGCAGAGAAACCAATTATCATAAAAACGTATGTCTAGAATACTCGTAACACAGAATAGCCAAACTTCTCTTGGTAGATCTAGTTCTCGAGATATTTTTCATCCAATTTAATTTGTGTATACATGTTATTATCGAGGTGGTTTATTTCAGGAACAAAAGGGAGGAAACTGATCAACTGACCAGAAAATTGGTGGTCGTGTTTATAAATAAATGAGCTCGACAAGGGCCTGTTTGTGTCTGTACTCAACCGAGAGAAAACGTTGGATGCTTGGTCATAACAAAGGAAGTGCTTTATCAACACTTATATCAGTTGGGTCCCTGGCCTTTTTCATAGGGAACATTTAGTGTTGAATGTTTCTAGAGGCGTCCAGTCAAACCACACTCACTCATCCCTATCTCATTAAACAAAGTTAATTTTTATTCATGCGAGAAAAAGAAATATCGCAATGAGAAACTGGCCTTAGGCGAAGCTGATTACACCAACATGCTGTACGTTCGTGAAATACATATACAATTTTGGAATCGTTAAATTGTCAATTCATAACGGATGATTTATGGTACTGAGATAAGATTGTCGATATTCAGTAATAACTCTTCTTTTTTATATACTTATTAATAAACGAAATAATTTGATTTGAAAAAATATATAAATAACTAGAATCACGCAATTTACCAAACAAGATACAGATCTATATATATTATTAACAAGAAATGATTATTTGTTTACTAGTATGAAATGTAAATTAGGAGACAATACTTTTTGTTCCTGTTAAATATTTACCTCCAGCTACACACACACACACACATATAAATATGCCTAGGAAATTGTACATAAAATACATTTTTCTGGGATACGTGTTAAGTTTTATCCAACATTGGCACAGAGCCAGTTTTCCATAGTTGAGGTTAAATCGACTGTAATCACTTAGACCTCTCGCAAGAAATCACAACAATGCTTGTTGTACTACACTGAGCGAAAGAGAAACAATTTCTCACCAATGCAAACACTACTAACCAGAAGTTCTTCCAGTGTGACGGAGTGGTCCGTGTAAGCACAAAGTTTCTCTGCTAAGATAGGTCTGGTTTGACGTACCTTCGACGACAAAAACAAACAAACCGCACCGACAAGTTGTAGCTGACTTTTTCGAATTTTCACAACAGAAAGAAACCTGTCCAAACAATTAACGGCCAATGGAAAAACATCTTGTTGGCATCGTTCTTCTTCACAAACCTGAAAACAGAATACGTTTGTAGCGTCACAAAAAATGTTGGATAAATAACTGAACACAACCAATATTTTATTTCAGCTTAAACTAAAATAACACAACTTTCTTACATAGCTATCATTAGTGTGAAGACATGGGTCATAAAAAATATTATAATATTAGTTCGATGATGAGGAACCCACTTTGAGACTAATAATGGTTGGAGACGGCTTGAATGGGTAATGAAGAAAAACTTTAATATAAGTTTAACATAACAGCAAATGTACAACGTTTCGACAAGGTTTTGTCATCATCAGGTACCCATTCAAGCCGTCTCCAACCATTATTATAATACTAGATGTACTTGCGCAGAATTCCCGAAAGTGTTCTGTTTCAAGAGTAAATAAAACCCAAATTAAGAGTAACAAATATTTATTATTCCTTGCTTTTGAAGTTCATATGTCATGCTGTGTTGTATCCTACAGAGTGCACAATTCTTCTCGTGATTCATGGTATGCACACGTTTTACTGATGTCATGACATTACAAATTGCAGCATTAAGCGTCCTTTGTGTGACGTGATTTTAGCGTCTACTGACAGAGAAAGAACACACTACTATATAATGGTGCCAGTGGATAAAACAGGTGACCCCTCCAGGCGGCCTTCAGCCTCCTTTCGGGAAAATAACTTATTAGCTCGTAGAAAATTATTTCACACATCATTATAACTACCTACTTGGATACTTTTCAATATTAAAAGCAAACCCATGCGTTTGTACGTCTTACAAACAGCTAAAACAGATCATAGCACCTATTATAAATAGATGTGTTAAAAACAAAGAAACAAACCAAACACCTAACTACATAAACCCAACTAGTCGAAATAAATGAATACACGCATATATGTATATACACACACACACTTCGATAAAATAGTAGAAATATTGGTAAGGAAAATGAGTTATTCTCATATTACCGTCGTTTTATGTTTTTGTTTTTCATAATATATGTATATATATAATAGAAACGTAAAAGAAATAACCTATAATCACTTGAAGTTAGGAACTTCAAAAAAACATTTGGTTAAAATAATTGGGAGAAAAAAATATTCATGTGTCTATACACTTTAAGGCAAATATTCTTAATCAAGAATTTGAAAAAAAAATGTATAGCATCTTTTGCATTAAACTTATTGGTGAAGACAACTGAGAAAAGTATGTGTGTTGTTTATATTTGAAAAACAACAGAAACTTGATTTATTTTATAAATATAGCTATAGAAAGAAACATTATAAAAGATAATGTGTTATTGCCATTTTGCTGTAAAGGAGAAAAACTGCAGAAAATATTGTAAAGAATAATAATTAATTAGCGTACGTTTTTTTTTTGTTTTTGTAAAATTTGGTGGATTGTGATAAAGAATGTTTGGTGAAGAATGATTTGAAATGTTTCGGAAGATAAAAATGTAAACATTAAAAGTAAGTACTGCACTATCTACTGAACTGCGTTAATGAGACGACTATAGTGAATTAAGATTGTATATTTTACGAAAAAACGTATTCCGAAAAAAAAAGGAAAAAAACCCAGTAAACCCAATTCTGCAAAAGCGAAAAGTATGTTAATGCGAATGTAGGGGCGCTAATTTTGAGCCCAATGCATTTTAATGCTTTTCCTCAAAACAAACGTGTGAATAAAAATAGCAAATGAAACATGATTAATTAATAATGGTATTTTAGTCAAAACATGTTGAAAATTAGAAATATATAACTGAATGTTACCTCTTATGCAAAACCACGCTTAACAAAAGAAACATGAAAAATATGCAAGTTCATTTTCTTTTGTTTGTTTGAACTATATCCTAACAGGAATCTCATTGGAACTTTTAATACTCGAAAATTAATTTTGTGGCCAAATTGTTTGTTTTTAATTTTTTAGCATGTATAGCAAATAAAAGTTGGTGCTATGAGCATCAACCATTATCTGAGGGTTAGATTGTTTTATATTTAGCTTTTTATCATATTGTATGATGTTTTCAGTGTATGGTTAAGAATATAAGCGAAAATAATTTTGAAATCGTTTTATCTAGGCCACTTAGATAAGCTATATTTTAAAATATTGTAATCTGTAACAGTGGATTTTTTATGGTGGTTATTAATCAATAAATTATGATAAGAAAAATTATTCAATAAGAAATCTAAATTAGCCTTACCAATGCATTTGCTTTGAAAAATTATTAGAATAACAATTATTAATTCGTCCCCTAAATATAAAATGTGAAAAGAGGGGGCTTGTGTAGTTCATGCACTGTAACGTAGGCCTAATATAAACTGTCATGGCGTATACATTGTCGACGTCATTAACGTACTTTCCTAATGTCCGTTGTTTAATAATTAATGTTTAGTTGTGAAAGTATTAATTTAAAATATTGTATGCGAACACTAAAATAGCTCATCTCTACGCCAATAAGTTTAGTAAGAATGTTAGTGAAAAGAAAACGGAACAAATTATCAGAAGACTTGAAATTTCAGAAACTAGTTTCGATACACATTCGTGCTTTTTTTTCAGTCCCACGTTGTTTTGTTGTTAAGATTAGTAAGATTCTTAAGTTAGATAACTAGTTGATGTTTCGACTTGTGCCTTCTTCCCAGACTTTGTTAGTATTAAAAAAGGCGTTAAACGTTTGAAATGAAGTGTAGCGAAACCAGGATAATCTAACAATTTTAGTGTTCCCGATCGTAACGAAAAAATGTGTCTGAAAACTGGGACAATTCTGATTTTTCGAGTAAGTTTGGTAACTCTAATTAAGAAACTTGTATAAATCAATGGAAAATTATTACTTGAGTTAGGCTACAACGTATAAGTTGATTAATACACAAGAAGAATATTCTAGTCTTCAGAAATGTTTTACTGTTTTAAATTTTCAACATTGAAATTGTATTCTATTTGTATGCTCAAAACGAAAAACAAGAACAACTTGGCTTCTAGCTGCCCAACGAATTATATGACTTGATTATGGCATGCTTTACATTTCATGTTGTATAGTATATGTTACTTTACAATGGACGGGAAATATTAATTATATACGTACTTATGTATGTAAAATCATTCTGCTGTAACTACTATAGCTCCAACAATGAATGAGGTATCATTTAAAAGATAATTTTCCGTAAAGTCAAATAAACAAAGAATGTTGTTCGGTTCGTTTGCAGAAGCAATTTCAAACGGTCATGTTATAAGCCTAAAACACCCATTTGGCCTTTGGTATTTTCAATTTGAGTGGTAACTTATATGACATGGGTTAAAATGGCCAGGTCGGAAACCCTAAAGTTAAGACACAACTGTTTTTACTTTTTAGTTTTTCTGATCAGGGTAACTAATCAATAACACCTGCTGCCTTTTTGACTGTCACTTTTATGAACTGCACACGTGTTCAATGGCATATCGCGGGCTCAAACTTTGGACCTTCAATGACGCAGCCTAGCATGCTAATAACTTGACCACACCCAGACATTAGTAACGATTTGAAATCGAGGTGTTACAGGTCTAGCCTTCCTGTCAGTAGGATAGGTGTAATTTTCAAGTATTCTTAACAAAGTTATAAGATGTACAATTGCTTTGGTTACGTTTTTAATCCTTAATAATGTTTTGTTTCTGCTAAAAATCTTATAATTTAAAAATAGTTAATTGGTATTACTAGCTAAACGTTTTGTTCTACTAGATAATCAAAATAAATTATTGTAAATTGTATACAGTAAACAACAAACATTGCATTAACACACAGCTTTCTCCACAATAAGTATAGCACTAAATCTGTAAAACACAAAATTTTACCAAATAGGACTATTTTTTGAGTAATCCAGAGTATCATCATCCAGTATAGTGTTAGGCCAGTTTAGTTTATATAATATTAGTAGGTTTTGTCATCCACACTTCCTAAACCTTCGTTGACTTCATGTTTTTAAATCAAAAAATGGAAAATTTAAAAGAAGCGCGCGTTATATGTAAGTTTGAAATTAGAAATCGTAATTTCCTTAAAATCGACACCTAAAGAACATGAATATCTAATTTTCATTCACTAATTTTTAGGTACTACTTTCATATATGAAAGTGAGGTTCAAACATCTTACCTCCCACATCCAAGTTGTAACTATTTTTCTCATGTAGGGTTTGAGCTCCTTCTGAAAACAATTAAAATAAGATGACGTAACAGTATATCTATCTTCCAATCGCAGCGTATTTTGCAGAACTTGATCAGTATACAACACAGGATCTTGATATCCTTTTGTCTCTGTTTCCTTCAAACTTCCCTCGCAGCATAGAAGTTCCATCCCTTCTTGATACGTCGGTACCTGTTCTGAGAAGTCACAGCGTATTTAACTTTCAAGGAAAACCTGACACTACTGAGAAGCCACGTTGACTATTTTGGGAGTGTCATGTTGGACCCCTTAATTCTGGGAAAAGTGTGATAGAACACTAATGACAAAAAGCTTGTGTTGCTAATGGTAACACCAGGTTAGAGGAGTTGAGATAAAAAATATATATATATAGAATGCTGGAAAAATAACTGAGCGAATAATCGTCTAGTATCAGTATCGGGTCCAGTTAGTTACTAACTTGCTGGTGCTTTTGCAGCAAAGACTTAAAATGTTCTAGAACCCGGGTTCGGCCTCTGTGGCAAGTTGCTATTGAAAGAATCTCCAGCCTACCGCCTTTTTCTCGACGTATCGTATTCGATTACCACCTCGATGAGAAGCGGGTTACAGTGTTATCATCTTAACAAATCAGCTGATCGCAGGATGTGTTCAGCGACTGCGCAGTAATTGAGCCCTCCTACCGCACTCTTATTTGACCGTTGGCTTGTCTGTCAACAATAGTCTGGCGGCTGTGCACTTGTATTCAAAAGTATGCCGCTCAGTTGTGTATTGCATGTGATATTTGAGCTAGACATTGTTTGTATATGCATGCACACATATGGACGGACAAGTCTGGAATACTGCAGCGTTTCTTTGCAAAATGGTAATTAAAAAGTAAAAACCGAAATCAATGGCCTTTGGTTATTAATCAATAAACAAACCGAACTGTCCTGTACACTTCTTGACTTTGTCCGCTTAATGTGGAAATAATCGGTTTAAGAGTGCTGATTTAATGCATTAGTACTATACAAGCCTTTAATTGATCACTAAAAGAGTGAGTGTTATAATATATTTATATTCTCATGAATATTTTACACGTTGTAGTGACAAACACAAAACAAGTTCGTATAAAATATACGCATAAATGAGATATGAAGAATGTTAAAAACATAAGGACATCTTTATCTACTGCATTGCAGCGACAAACAAGAGACCTTGCAGTTCGTGCAATATAAAGTTAACGAGAAGAATGATATGGACACAATGAAAATTTTTATCTGCTATAGTAAACTAGTTCTTAAAGACATATGAATATCACGTAAGGAATAGTATAAACATAATATTCTTGTTTATGTTCGATGACGAGGAACCCACTTTGAGACTAATAATGCTTGTCGAAACGTTGTACATTTGGTGTTATGTTAAACTTATATTAAAGTTTTTCTTCATTACCCATTCAAGCTGTCTCCATGCATTAGTACTCTTGTTTATGGGTTAGCCTTAGGTTCTGTTCATACATGTTTTAACAATCTCTTGAGTATTTATAATACACGTTGCAAAGATATAATGTGCAAGAAGAGCTCAGATTTTTATTCAAATATCTATAGAAAATGCAATTAAGGACCAAATTAATCTATTTATTTTGAGATTCCACGAATTATTGTTTCAAATAAAATGTATATTTTCAAATTGCTTCGACTGATCGTGCTATCATTGATGTAGCAGACTTTATCAAATCTAATAGTCTTTCTGAATTTACAAGTATCAAAAATAAAGCAACTGGTCTACCGTTTTACAATGGAAATATAGTTTCTTGCGTGCGTGTTTTAGTGTATCTTTTGAAAGATCACGTGCCAGGGAAAACTAATACTCCACATTCTTTGCTCTCAGCAATGACTACACCAACAACTCTGTTTAGCTACAGACCTGAGTAGCAGCAACTTGTGCATGATATATCATATAATAACATTCCTTCACGTTACAATAATTTATGGCATTTATGTTAATAATGCCTAACGCTAAAACTTGAGACCATGAACTTTGATGTTTCACGGTGATGAAAATGGCGTTTGTTATAACTTATCGTAGCCTAAGTAAGTGAATCCATGATCTTTAATGTTTGTTATTACTGACAGAAATCGATGGCGTAGAAAAGAAAAATATATGGGTATTCAAATATTTGGATTTCATGGTGGAGGAGCATTTTTATTTAGGTTTGTTTTTGAATTTCGCGCAAAGCTACAAGAGGGATATTTGCGTTAGCCGTCCCTAATTTATCAGTGGGAAGACAGCTAGTCATCACCACCCACCGCCAACTCTTGGGCTACTCTTTTACCAACGAATAGTGGGATTGACCCTCACATTGTAACGCCCCCACGGCTGAAAGGGTGAGCATGTTTGGTGTGACGGAGAATCGAACCCGCGACCCGCTGACTGCGAGTCGAGCGCCCTAACCACCTGGCCATGCCGGGCCTTTTATTTAGGTAGGTAAAAATATAAATAAAACCAATGGGCAGTTTCAGCTTCAAAATACATTGTTGACAGTTTACTTCACTATTAACACTGCCATATTTGACTATAAGAATTATTTGTACGTGTTTAATAATGAAAATTAAAAACATTTATTTACTGTAAGGTATGTAATTTTTGACGTTGTATAGATACGATACTAACTAAAACAATTACGAACATCTGTGTCTATGTATGACTGATTCATTCTTATTATTTTCTACTCGATCAGTACCCCATCCCACCTCGTGGGGGGTCAGCGTTAAGTTTACGAACTTACAACGACAAAACGTGGGATTCGATTCCCTGCGGTTAGATAGAGCGCATATATAGCCTATTGTGCAGTTTTGCGCTCAAATAAACAAACTACTCGATCAATTTATATTTTTGTTATTGTACAGAAAGTGTGTATATGTATACATCTGTGTATTAAGAAAATACGCAACAATAGTATATACATGTATGGAACTAATTATGTTGGTGTACTTTAGTCTTAGCTATAAGTGAAAATTATTAAACGTTGACTTGGTTAAAGAACGATAAATGAAGAAAACATGCATGGGGATAAAATTAAGCTTAAAGTGTATATACATGTGATAAGAGGCAAAATTTCAATATTATTAATTGTTATAGAAGCTTGTTAAAGATCATAAACTGGTTACTGAATACATATTTAATTGCTACTAGTATGGGGGACTCGTGCTTTGTGTACGAAACTTTTTTTTTGTTTTTGTTATTGTGGTGGTATTTTGTATTTAAGTGTAAAGAGTTTAGAAAATGTAAAGGGAGTGCTGTATATTTAAAATGATTAAGTAACGTGCCTAGACTACCACATATGAGGTTAATTACGTAGAGTTATGAACGAATCTGATGGCCGTGCGGGGCGTCTCAATGACTGCGAGGTTAAATCCAAGTGGGTTAAACTTATTACACAACACTTGTTACCCACCCAAACACCTCTAGTACAAAAGACACTTTGAGCCGTGTAGTGATACTTTCAAAACCTAGGTATTGGAGGCAAGTACCGGTACTCTTAAGTGTCTATAAACAAATGAAAAAATTCCCAAACTAAACTTTAACGCATAAACACTGCTGTTTGAGATGTGGCTCTGAGGAACGACACGTCCATTACCCAAACACCATTTCCTTTGCTAACGCACAGTACTATCTTATCTACACCCACTCTCCCATTTCGCATATGGTGACGTCGCCCGAACATCCCTGCTCCTAATTCCATTTCTTCATAGTTTAATGAAATTTAAAAATATTCACACTCACGCATACACGCTACTCTTTTAATTACATAGATTCTGAAAGTTCTCTCCAAGGATACACTGTTCTAGAACTACATCCTACCAACAACCCAGAAGAAACCCTCCGTGCATATCACAAACCTCTAGACCTTAAGAAGACTAAAATGATATCAGGATTGGGTTTGGATCAGCTACCCGCATTATAAACGTACTTTCAAGAGTGTCAATCATCTGCCGTGTCACTTTATCCTGCTTTTAAAAAGTAATAAAATACCTTTAAAACGTTATATTGAGCGGAGTTATTAACGTCTTGTTTAGGCCAAATTTATGTTACTTTTAGGAATTTAAAGATTGACGCAGACCACTTTAAGATATTTGTTACAGCCGTTAAACAAATTCGTCTGTTTGTTAAGCACAAAACTGCATAATTGGCTCTCTGGGCTATTCTCTTCGTTGGGATCGAACACCAAATATTAGTGGTAAAGTAAAGTATTAGAAAGAACAAGATTCCAATTTCAAAAAAATATATTCCTACGACGATGGTTCAGGACAAGAACTAGTGTTTGTGTGATCCCTTAGTGAGGTATGCTATATTGTTTACTTATTGTTGCTTTCATTAACAATATTAATTAGTATATTAAATCTAATTACTTTTTATTGTGATTTATTATTTACAATTATACTTTTATTGTAAAGAATGTTTTGCATTGTCAGCTCATAATTTTTAATAAGGACTAACCTAAGTCTTCTAAGATGGCTGAACCTTGTGATATATTATTGGGATTATGCCCGAAAATATCGCTAACAACGAGGGTGCCTAGCTAATGAAACGATGTATTCTATTAGTTATAAGTCTAAACATATAAACATCATACTAAATTAGCTGATTGTCAGGTTGAATTTTAGTTCTGCACTAAGTACATCCCCAACGTGGTGGACAGATCACAGATAGCCCATTGTGTAACTTTGCGCATCATAACAAAACAAACAAACAAAGTACATAGCTTACCCTAATCGGAAGTTATTATTATTATAAGCCCTCAAGCTGGAAGAGTACTCAGATTTATGGGAGGGCTAGAAAAACTAATGAGGCAAAAAGCAAAACAAATAAATAAGACTAAACGCAAATGTTTCACGAAATAAACTCTAATAAAAGAAATGGTTATATCAAAAATCTAGTAAATAACGTATGTCAACATGAAATATATTCCCACAAAAGATCTACGTTTCAGTCGTGATGTAGAGATAAAGCATACCAACAAACTAGAAATAATCGTGCAGAAATAATTTATGTATAAATAAAAAAAAACAAATATTATAGTTTACGAGCTTGGAAAATTTACACAAAACCCTTGATATAATATTTATAAAAGTCGTTAGTCTGTAGTTTAAGACAGGGGTACAATAATAAATTCTTTGTCAGAGCACAGATTAAAAAAAAAAGTTATGAGCTATATGAAATAACTAACTTTTTAGCAACTAATTAGAAATGCTGTAATTATAGAGAAAATGTCTGCAATAACTAAATAAAAGATCTGTTATTTTGATAAAGATAAATGGAAATGACCATTCTTGGTGAAAATTGCTTAAGACTGCAGAAGACAAAAATAATGTGATAAAGCATTTAATAAACGGTAAATAAAAATTCAAGCAACAGGTGGCGGATTTTAAATTTTAATGTGCCGTTTTAATGTTTCCTGAGAAAGGGCTCAAGTCAGAAATGGGGAAATACCCAATACGCAACTGAATACCTAGATTTGCGAAATGTGCTAAAACACGTCGTTATACTGTTGTTTTGTTCAATTTAGGTTTTACTGAGCAAATTTAAGAAGTTGCCAGAGAATTCTCACTGTAAATCATGTTTTTGGCTTGAAGGTCGTGTATGATTTTGGAAGTAATTCTCTAATGTTTTGCAAAATACTGTGTGATACAAATTAAGATTCAATATAATAACGATAAAACTAGATAAACCACTGGAAGTTTTTCGGCTGCATAAGCATTTTGTTTTAGAAAATAAACAAATATATAATGTTGTTTTCTGTATAAAACTTCAATAATTGGCTGTAATATTTTAAATTTAGTTATGTTTAGT